AACGCCGCCATAGTAGGACTACTTTGCATGCACTGCTATCTACCCTGGCCATTTGGATCCCTTTCAAAGGCCGATTTATACTATTTTTATTCAGCCTGCAAAAGGAGTCTGGTGGAGACTAAACTCCGACTCCTCCCGCTCGGATGTTGCATGTTCGATACCTCACCTGGTCCAACTCGGACCATCTAAGACTAGTGTCCGCTCCCCTGGCCAGTTACATCCCTTTTTAGGCCAATTTAGACTACAGTATCTATTCAGCCTGCAAAGGAGTTAGCCTGGGCACCATCCTGGTTAGTTTAGGTCGCCTCCCACAGTCGCTATGGTTGGTCGGTATACGTAGCGGACGTAAACTAACCAGGATGGTACCCTGGTTCTGACAAAGGAGTCTACGTATACACTCCTCCCGCTTGGATGTATATGTTCGATACCTCACCTGGTCCAACTCAGACCATCTAAGACCGGTGCCCGCTCGAGCTCCCCCGGGGGTACCGCATATTGATTGATCGATGTTTTTCGAACGGGTCTGAAAGCCGAGATGAGATTACGACCTTTATCAATGATAATCGATCAAGCGAAGTGTCAGCAAAACGCACGGTCGATGACTCCGGGGACAGACCGAGTTGGCACCTGGAAAACTTCCAAATAGAACTTTTCCTCCGCGGAATGGTCGGTGCCTGAGTTGTCGATAGACGTTAAATGTCAAGGTAGTGCTTTTTTTATATTCCAACATCTAATCACAAGACGTGGTGACGGCACACTCAAGTTTTTTCAACTTATATTAATTCCTCCACCAACACAGGGAACAATACAATACTCATTTTCACCTGAGTTAAGTGAAGAAAGTCGTGTTAAGCGCCTTTCAAGGGCACAAGATAGGTGGCATGTCAGGACTCGAAGCCGGGACCTCTTGACTCCGAGTCGATCGCTAGCACTCTGCCGCTACGCCACACGACCCCAGTGTTTTTTTTTTTTTTTCATTATAAGATGGATGTATTGCATGCACGTTGTCTGTGGATACAGAACCTGAAAACATTCTGTTCTGCCTCAAAGTTTTATTTGCCATGCCGTCAAATTACTTTATTACTCCGCGAAGGAGGTCAGGACCTCCGGACGGAGTGTTGTGGACAGCCGTTTTTTTCGTGTTCGCAGTCAAAACACTGGGTTCCCTTTGTGTCATCGGCATGCAATTTTATACGCCGTCTGCGGGCATGCCCGGGATGATGCACGAATCGCTGCTCTTCGAGGCGGGGCAACCAAAGAGCTGGACAGAGAACCACTGTGCTCCACGTTTTGAGAGGGAGGAAGGTTTTAATGGAGTATACGTACTTCGACAACTGGGTTCCGTTCATGTGGTACCTTCGTGCAGAGCTGCTAGCCAGAATGACGCCTTCTCCAGTTCTGGAAGTGGAGAACAACGGTATAAATAATCCAGGAGGCTGTGCCAAGGTACCAAAAATTAACGAAGTTAGCACAGCCTGTGGAATGAAGCTACGCTATTTCTCTAAAGTTTCAAACAAGATCTGTCCCTTCAAACCCCGTGTGAACGTCAAACACGTCTCTAATCCAAACGTGTACCTCCGCGTTCTTGAATGGACAATGTGAATGAAGATAATGAAAATTACCAAGTCAGGAAGTAACGGAAAAATAAATAATCGAATTGCAGATAGCACAATTCTACCTCAGACAAGCTAGGTTAGGCTTTAGTCACATTTTCAAGTGTTGGTCGAGACGTATGTGTGGATTCTTGATCATTATCTATTAGTCTGACAGGACCTTATAGAGAGCCTTTTTTAGAACAAATTTGTATATAGACAGGAACGGCACCTAGCGATGTTTTCTCAAACAACACCACGTTCTTGAGAGCGCTATCGATCGGGAAAAGTTGCAACTGTTTCGATATCCAAAATAACACAAAGAAAGGTCATACTTAGTGATAAATTCCGCTAAAACATTTTGCTTGTATCGTTGGAGAAAGGGAGAAAAATGGATGGATTCAAGAAAGCATGACGGTCGATCAAAATACGACAGTTGAGTCGCTCAGTTCAGGCAAAAAGACGGCGTATTGCCTTGCTACCTATAGCACGCAAGGATCAGAAATAAATAAGCGTATAGGCAAATAATATGTTATACTATTCTAAGGAGTTTAAACCTCCTTGGTTATTTGGATGTTAACAATTGCCAACATATAATGAATGTCTATGTCACGGAGTAGACGGAGTAGATGAAGTAACGGTTAATTTAATATCTATATTTAATCAATATAAATTCAACACTGAGGACATTCTACCAGGATCGTCGACCCCAGCCGTACTACCAAAATGTGGCGATGAGGACCCCAGCCGTACTACCAGAATGTCCTCAGTATTGAATTTGTATTGATTAAATATAGATATTAAATTAACCGTTACTTCATCTACTCCGTGACATCTAGGTTGGTTAGCGTTATATACGAACGTACTGTAAGGCCATGTTGATTTGATTATATGGATGACATCCTCTGGGAACCACAAAACTGATGCGCGCGTGCGAAAACAAAATTTTTGCAAAAAAAAAAAGTTGCTTTCACTATGAAATCTACGTGGTCATGAAGGTTGAACAAATGGCGCAGAATATGTTATGGCGAATAATCTACTCTTCGAATTCATTTCTTAACATTTTTGTCTTTTTGCCTTTAATTTTGGCATTCTACGACATTGGCATCGTTTCTAAATGTTTTCCTTGCAACTTATGGTATATTTTTGCTCATTTAGCAACTGTTTTGCACGATTTACAGTATGGTTGAAAACTTTTTTTTTTGGAAACGGCCGAAAATTCATGCGCGCGCGGATGTCATCCATATGTTCAAATCAACATGGCCTAAACACAAAACAAGTAGCTAGCCATAGGCGACAATTCTCCGTTAAGTTTTATATTTCGCAGATTGGGACCAGTATAGGGTATGTAAACAGTGTGTGAGCACTTCGCAACGTAACGACGTTCAACCAGGTAACAACGTGCCGTAAAAATGGCTAAATCCCTGGTCAAATACATAAGATCGCGCTCGTGGCGACAGCCCCCCTTGGGGTCATAAACCCCCGGCCGAGTGTTTGTACAAATACAGGCCACATAAAATCAACAACACGACGAATTACTAAACAGCTGAACATCAAGTCATCTTCCATAACAATATGTTTCATTTACTGCATATAACGCAATCTGGGTCAAATGGGCGGATCACGCATTGGGCGCAAGGATACTCGGAAATGAGAATCCAGGCCAAAATCAATCTTCAACCGAAAAAAACACAAAGTATATTATTACTTTTTAGCCATACCAGTATAAAATAGCATTTCAAAGCAGGTTAAGATAAATGTGAACTCAAACTTGACTGCTCAAAACAGTAACTTTATTTTACCGCGGACTACCACGGACCCCGGTCGCGGAAGAACCCCAGTTGGAAGAACTGAGGTCTGCTCCATTCCCACACCCCACTCGTAGACCTCCCTGCTCTTCCCCACACCCCACTCGTAGACCCCCATGCTCTTCCCCACACCCCACTCGTAGACCTCCCTGCTCTTCCCCACACCCCACTCGTAGACCTCCCTGCTCTTCCCCACACCCCACTCGTAGACCTCCCTGCTCTTCCCCACACCCCACTCGTAGACCTCCCTGCTCTTCCCCACACCCCACTCGTAGACCTCCCTGCTCTTCCCCACACCCCACTCGTAGACCTCCAAGGAAAACATTTAGAAACGATACCAATGTCGTAGAATGCCAAAATCAAAGGAAAGAATGACAAAAAATGTTAAGAAATGAATTCGAAGAGTAGATTATTCGCCATAACATATTCTGCGCCATTTGTTCAACCTTCATGACCACGTAGATTTCATAGTGAAAGCAACTTTTTTTTTTGCAAAACTTTTGTTTTCGCACGCGCGCATCAGTTTTGTGGTTCCCAGAGGATGTCATCCATATAATCAAATCAACATGGCCTTACAGTACGTTCGTATATAACGCTAACCAACCTAGATGTCACGGAGTAGATGAAGTAACGGTTAATTTAATGTCTATATTTAATCAATATAAATTCAATACTGAGGACATTCTGGTAGTACGGCTGGGGTCCACATCGCCACATTTTGGTAGTACGGCTGGGGTCGACGATTCTGGTAGAATGTCCTCAGTGTTGAATTTATATTGATTAGATATAGATATTAAATTAACCGTTACTTCATCTACTCCGTCTACTCCGTGACATAGACATTCATTATATGTTGGCAATTGTTAACATTCAAATAACCAAGGAGGTTTAAACTCCTTAGAATAGTATAACAAATAATTATCTATACTATACGCTTATTTATTTCTGATCCTTGCGTGCTATAGGTAGCGCTGGCTTTTTGCCTGAACTGAGCGACTCAACTGTCTTATTTTGATCGACCGTCATGCTTTCTTGAATCCATCCATTTTTTCTCCCTTTTCCCAAAGCAAAATGTTTTAACCATCCTCCTTCGCAGGACCAAATCCTCGGTTCCCCTCCGGTTACTAAAACCGGAGGGAACCGAGGATTTTGGCCCTGCGAAGGAGGATGGTTTTAACGGAAGTTAACACTAATTATGACTTTTCTTTGTGTTGTTTTAGATATCGAAACAGTTGCAACTTTTCCCGATCGATATCTTTCTCAAGAACGTGATGTGGTTTGGGAAACATCGCTAGGTGCCGTTCCTGTCTATATACAAAATTTGGTCTTAGGGAGGCTCTCTATATACGATCATGCCTGGCTAATAGATAATGATCAAGAATCCACACGTACGTCTCGACCAACACAAAATGGGACTAACCTAGCTTGTCTGAGGTAGCATTGTGCTGACTGAATGAAAAGAAAGACAGTCAGAAACGTAGCCTAGCGACCTTTTTTTGAATACCAGCCTTTATTGCCAATCTACTTATGTTCACTGTTGAAAAGACCCTATTTTTATTTGCAGTTCGATCATCTATCTACAAATACAGTGCATCTGTGAATATGAATGAAGAGAGAGGGGTGAGGGGACAATGAGGTTGATATTTATTACAGATAATCATGGGTGATTGATTTCATCTCTAGTTATTACAAAATATAAATGTTTTCTTAAGAGATAGGTATAAATCTATACATCCTTCATTACCTCACAATAAACTTTTGTACCCTATAAGCTAATGATTTTCAACATCATACCTTAACCAATCTATTCAACTTTCATAGTATTATCGAAATACTCTGGGATCTCAATTGATACCAAAGCACATTGTTACTCTTGTATCAACGTCAAGTTATTGACCCAGAAGCTATGAAGTCACATCTCCTGTGAATGAAGACACTGGCAGTCCTGTTTGATTGTGAAGGACTTACCTTCAACCCATATGAGCAAATGTCATTTAAGAAATTAAACTACAACCCTGTTAACCTCAAGGAGTCAAACTCAAAAAGTTTAGATTGTATTTTGAATAGAATAGTCAATTGTTTCTCTTTATGTACGTTGTACACATTGTATGCTATAATTTAGCCTTCGGGCATGAACTTGCAAATAAACTTCTAGTATGATAAGCAAATTAAGCAAAATTTATTCACAGCTAAATGACCACCTGATAAAGGCATAATATATGAAGCATTGTTGACACATTGTGTGTTAAAATACTCGGATGGCAGCCTCCTTTGACTTGATCCTTGTTACATGTACTTCTCCAGCCACTTAAGCATCTCCAGACGTGCTCCGTCAATAGCAGCTGCGTCTTTGTCATTCTCTTCCTTCTTACGATGTACAAAACCGTGCCCCATCCCTTCATACACCGACACGTGGTTATCCACCTTGCAGGACTTCTTCAGCTCTGTCTTAAGGGTTTTCACCTAGAAAGTTGAGATGTCATTGTTGAAATACTAGTACTTCAATAGTGCAAGTATATGATCTTTAACAAGTACAAGACAAAACATAACATGGAGTCTATTGTCTTGCATACTCTAGGTACTTCAAAGTCCATACAAGGCTTGATAAGATTTTAATTACTAGTATATCTTTCAGATAAAACTTTACCTGATCCAAAGGAATTACAGGGTCGTTATCTCCAAAGATGAAGAGCCCCGGTGCATTCAGTAGTCCAAGTTTCTCATCCTCCTTATTACCAATGCCTACAAGTCAGATAAAGGATCCAAAATTTAGATTCATGTCATTATCAATCACGACACCAATTCTTGGTGCCATTCCAGAACGAATCAACCCCAAAACTCGATTTAGAAGCAACAATTGAAGAAGTCTTTCTAGTCTAAAGGGAGTGAATGATATTGCTTTGTCTGGTGTGTCTGTCTGTGTTTTTGCATTATGTATTTTCCACATTCAAGCTTAAGTTATATGAGGCATGATCAGATTAACACTTCATTGATGGTGATATGATCCATCAATCTCTTGGTTTGATTTTCTTTGTCTGGTTTCAAATTTATAAAACATCAGTTCACCGTAACAGGCCACGCCACACTTGAAGTCCGTCCGGTCCACCAGGCAAGCGTGTACAGCTCGCCCTCCCCAGCAGAACCCCACACACCCCAGCTGTTCTACACCAAACTCCTGCTGGAGGTAACCTACTGCTGCGTCAGTTACACTGGACAAAACAGGAGGTGCAATCAATGGGAAACTCCTGCTGTAGGTACCCTATACGTACTGCTGCTCATCAGTTACACTGGACAAAACAGGACGAACAAGAATTTGGAGATCTCAAACCTCCTTGAAATCTTTTGATCTTGTGTAATAGTGATTGTGTCCTCTTCTCATTCACCACGGTGTCTACAAGTCTTTCTTTATTGTGCAAGGGAAACAACACCAGCTGTCAAGGAGTAGTAACAAAAATGTAGTAGTCATGTAGTAGTAACAAAAAAATGCTTCATGCCCCCCCCTCTCTCTCTTTCTCTCTTCTCTGTTTACAGAAGTCTTTTAAGTTAAAACTTACATCAGGTGAGCACATTCCTTTTCCTATAGAGTTGATTAATTTGTCACAGGTGTCTTATGGATAACTTGCTCATGACTCACGGATGAATTTTGTTTGGGTCCTTTGTCTTTCTCCATTCATCGAAGGTGCTCCGGTCTTTGTCAGCGCTCCAAGGTTCTGCACCTTCAAATGCATCTGGCAGAATTGCCCTGCAAGAACAACATTTTTTTATACACATCAGACAAGCAGAATTAGAATACTTCACAATTTTATCTTATTTTTACTGTTATTTTTCATCTTCTTTGGCTTCAGCCCTCAAGTGTTTTTCACCCAGCTAGCTCTACCATTATGTGATTCCCTAAATGCATAGATGTTACATCTTAACAAGGCAAACAAAGATGGCAGACTTCACCCCTTTACCCACTTCTTTGTAACCCCTTCAGTCCCAAAGACAGACATAGCAGCATTGGGAATATATTACAATGCTACACTTTGTGCCTTGGGAATTGTAGAAAGGCTGACACGTGACAAGACACACAGACATACTGACACACAGACACACATATACATGGCAAAACAATACTACAAGTTTATTTATTTATTGTTCATATGTATACAAGTATAACATGGAATTGCAAAGTATGACTTACACATATCCATTGTTAGCTATCATGTCCACCATGTAGCGAGTGTTGGGCATCTCCCAGCCGAAGATGTCTATATAAACCACCACTCCCTTCTTGGTGGGAGTTTTGGGCGTGGCTACGTACATGTCGACCCCGCCCACCTTCACTGCCCTGCCCATGGAACCGTACTCCAGTCTGTCCCCGATACAGCACGGTGTCTCGTTGTTGGCGTTTGCCATGGTTGTGTTGTGACGAACACAAGTTAAACTTGCAGAACGTTCTGTGGAAACAATCCAAAACATATCCAAAATCGAACTACACCATCCACTTCACTCTACTTACCCACCCGCTAAATACCAAGGGATCTAGGGGTAAACATAAGCCTTCCGAAAAAATGCAGTACCTCAGAGTCTATTTTTCATGGAGGTGAACATCTGATCATTGTCTAACCAGGTCACGGGTATTCAGGGTCATTCTTCGGTACTCAACTCTAGGCTTAGAACTAGCCAAGCTTATCCAGCTATATAATAAAGCACAACCAGCTGATTTTGAGTCGACTGCCTAAATTCACAACATCTTAAGTAAGGACCTTCCAAGTTGGCTGAGGTCAAACGTTCTGTTGGGGCAACTAGTTGACCTATACCATCGAAGAGCCGACCTGTTTCGACCCTGGCAACATTGTGGTTTCCGGGTTAATCATTGTCAAAATGTTTACCAACACCAAGTTACAGCATGCTGAGTCACGCACGTTAACGTTACACCCTACAGTCAAAGTATTGAAAGCAATTGCCCTCCATATTTAAACTTCTCGCCATACCTCTGTCAAAGCATTTCCTAAGTGTAAATGGTCTAATAAAAAAAAGACGGGTTTCAAACACAGCAAACGTTTCGCAACTCTACAAAGGCTATAAGATTAAAGTCTCCCAGAGTGTGGAGGTTGGTGGCATGGCAATATACAATTCCATTGTCGTTTTGTCCATGAATCCAACACAAGTGAAAACAGTACCTGTACGTTGAGCCTAAAATCCGTTGTAGGACTGATCACTTGCCGGACTATGCAGTACTATAAGGTCAGTGCGTGTTACCTCTGATCTTTGAACTTTGGTAATTATTCTGACTATTCCATTCACAATTTCAGATGGGGGGATATAAGTTTTTTTTTTTTTAAGCCAAAGTAAATTCCGTTCAAATCTGATATTAACGCCATGTAGCAAGGAAATTTTATAGATGACATCCTCCGCGGACTCCAAAGGCTGCTAGAAGACATGATATCACAACCAACATGTCTATTCGTGTATTCAACATTCTGCCCCCACTCTTCCCGATCTCTCCAACTTATGTTCACTGTTGACCAGACTCTATTTCTATCTGCAGTTCAGAGCCAATCATCGCTATCTACAAATACAGTGCATCTATGAATATGAATGAAGCCTCGGAGAAGGGGTGAGGGAGACAATGAGGTTGATATTTATTACAGGTAGATCATGGATGATTTAATTTATATCTAGTTATTACAAAATATAAATGTTTTCTTAAAAGATAGGTATAAATATATACATTTTCATTACCTTAGCATTCAGACTTTTGCTCTATAAGTTAGTGGTTTTCAACATCAAGCCTTAATCAATATAGATTCAACTTTCAATTGATTCAAATTTCAATTGATATACCAAAGCACATTGTTACTCTTGTATCAACGTCAAGTTATTGACTCAGAAGCTATGAGGTCACATCTCCCTGTGAATGAGGACACTGACAGTTCTCTTTGATTGTGAAGGACTTACCTTCAACCCATATGAAGCAAATGACATAGAATTGTGATTTAAGAAATTAATAAAACTACAACCCTGTTATCATCCTCCCAAAACCCACTCATGTAGAATAAGTGGGACACTTCGTCTTCCACAGCTTCCAAAAAAGGAGTCAAACTCAAAAAGTTTAGGTTGCATTTTGAATAGAATAGTCTATTGTTTCTCTTTATGTATGTTGTACACATTGTATGCTACAATTTAGACTTCGGGCATGAATTGCAAATGAACTTCTAACATAATAAGCAAATTAAGCAAAATTTATTCACAGGTAAATGACCGTCATGATAAAGGCATAATATACGGAAGCATTGTTGACACATTGTGCGTTAAAATAAGATGGCAGCCTCCTTTAATTGACTTGATCCTTGTTATATGTACTTTTCTAGCCACTTAAGCATCTCCAGACGTGCTCCGTTGATGGCTGCTGCGTCTTTGTCATCTTTTTCCTTCTTACGATGTACAAAACCGTGTTCCATTCCTTCATACACCGTCACGTGGTGATCCACCTTGCAGGACTTCTTCAGCTCTGTCTTAAGTGCTTCCACCTAGAACGTTGAGCAGTCATTGTTTAAATACTTTCAATCTGCTGTGTCTTCTCTCGTACGTTAAAGATCATGTACTTGCACTATAATAATGCAAGTACATGATCTTTAACAATTACAAGACAAGACACAGCAGTTCTATTGTCTCCATAAGGCTTGATAAGATATATACTGGTTAAGAATTAATAGTGCGATAAGACTACTGATTATAACAGCTATGGTAGTTACAATGCTTGTATACAGCACATACTGAGTCTTTGCTAAAATTTTAGAATTCAGTCATGTTGAAACTAGATTATATCTGTCAGATAAATTTAGCCTTACCTGATCCAAAGGATACCAAGGGTCGTTTTCTGCAAAGATGAAGAGCCCGGGTGCATTCAGTAGTCCAAGTTTCTCATCGTCCTTATCCCTAATACCTACAAATCAGATTGAAGGATTAAGAATTTTGATATATTCAAGACCTCACCAATTCAATTTCTTGGTTGTTGGTGTAGGTGTAGGATTCCAGAATGAATCAACCCCAAAACTCAATTTAGCACTGACAGTTGAAGAAAGTTTTTCTTGTCTAAAAGGAGTGAATGATAATGGCTGTGTGTGTCTGCTTTGGTAGACAATGTTGTAATTCCAATAGATAAATAATGGGTATCGCCAATCTCTCAGCAACATCTGATTATTTCATGTTGAGTTTCTTAAGACTCTTACAAATCGCAGGAAAATAAACATCAGTTCACCGTAGCAGGCCACGCCACACTTGAAGTCCGTCCGGTCCACCAGGCAGACGTGTGCAGCTCGCCCTCCCCAGCAGAACCCCACACACCCCAGCTGTTCTACACCAAACTCCTGCTGGAGGTAACCTACTGCTGCATCAATCACACTGGACAAAACAAGAGGAATAACATTATTGTAAACTCCAGAAATAATTTGATCAGGTTGGTAGAATATATAGGGATTTTCTTTGTCTACACGATTTTTTTTATCATTTTCTTACTATTTTCCTTTTCTTAGATTTGATTGATTTGTTACAGTTGTCTTATTGACAACGTGATCATGACTCACGTATTAATTTTGTTTGGGTCCTTTCTCTTTCTCCATTCAGGGAAGGTGCTCCGGTCTTTGTCAGCTGGCCATGGCTCACCTTCAAATACATCTGGAAGAGTGGCCCTGCAAGAAATATTTTTATACACATCAGACAAGCAGAATTAGAACACTTCTCACAATTTTATCTAATTTTTACTGTTATTTTTCATCTCCTTTGGCTTCAGCCCTCAAGTGTTTTTCACCCAGCTAGCTCTACCATTATGTGATTCCCTAAATGCATAGATGTTACATCTTAGCAAGGCAAATAAAGATAGCAGACTCACTGTACCCCCTTCTTTGTAACCCCTTCAGTCCCAAAGACAGACATAGCAGCACTGAGACTATATTGCTACACTTTGAGTATTAGGAATTGTAGAAAGGCTGACACGTGGCAAGACACACGTACAGACAGACAAACACACACATACATACATGGAAAACGTGGCAAAACAATACTACAAGTTTGTTTATTTATTCGGTTCATACAAGTATAACATGGAATTGCAAAGTATGACTTACACATATCCATTATTAGCTATCATGTCCACTATGTAGCGAGTGTTGGGTAGCTCCCAGCCGAAGACGTCCGAAAAAAACACCACTCCCTTCTTGGTGGGAGTTTTGGGCGTGGCTACGTACATGTCGACCCCGCCCACCTTCACTGCCCTGCCCATGGAACCGTACTCCAGTCTGTCCCCGATACAGCACGGTATGTCATCGTTGGCGCTTGCCATGGTTGTGTCATGACAAACACAAGTTTAACTTACAGAATGTTCTGTGAAAAAAAAAAACACGTATCACCAGGTGTCCAAAATCGAACTACGCCATCCACTTCACTCCACCTACCCACCTGCTAAATACCATCCACGGGATCCAGGGATAAACATAATCCTGACCAAAAACATACAGTACCTCAAATTAGTCTATTTACCGTACCATGGAGGTAAACATCTGATCATTGTCTAACCAGGTCACGGGTATTTAGGGTCATTCTTCCGTACTCAACTCTAGGCTTAGAACTAGCCAAGCCTAAATTCCAGCTACATAATAAAGCACAATTAGCTGATTTTGAGTCGACTGCCTAAATACGCAACATCTAAAGGGCCTTCTAAGTTGGCTGAGGTCAAACTTTCTGTTGGGGCAAGTTGACCTAAACCATCGAAGAGCCATAAAACCACCTGTTTCGACCCCGGCAACATTGTGGTTTCCGGGTTAAGTGTCAAAAGGTTTACCAACGTTACAGCATGCTGAGTCAAGCACGTTTACGTTATATCCTACAGTCAAAGTATTAAAAGCAATTGCCCTCCAGATTTAAACTTCTCGCCATACAACACCAACAGGTGTTAAGCGCTGAAATGAGTCCTTAGCGTGGTTCACAGAATAACTCATAGCGCAGTCAGGATCGGCAAAACCAGACTAAAATACAATGTCTTCGTAATCCTCACAAGTCAGAGAACCTCGGGGAGTTCACTTGGAGATCAAACGTGCACGCAAAAACGAGCTTTGTAGCGTCAAAGTTGATCATGACCTTTATTCGCTTGCTAAGAACTCATTGTGGCGTGGGGGTTTCCGTGTTACCGCTCACGGCGATAATCCCATCTACTTCCGGGTCGCCGAAAAGTGAAAACGGGTCAACTTTGACGCTACAAAGCTCGTTTTTGCGTGCACGTGTGATCTCCAAGTGAACTTCTCGAGGTTTTCTGACTTGTGAGGATTACGTAGACATGTATTTTAGCCTGGTTTTGTTGATCCTGACTGCGCTATGAGTTATTCTGTGAACCACGCTAAGGACTCATTTCGGCGCTTAACACCTGTTACCATTACCGCCACACATTACAATATTGCCATTTCATATTGACAGAAGCGTTTTAGTTGCATGGTGGTGTAACCGTTCCGTGCTTACCTGGACAGAACTCTGAGTAGCTTCGCGTAAAACTTTGCAAAGCAACACGTCGGAAAACGATGGTAATTTTGATTTCCTTACGTTTGCTATCCAGATGTCCCAGCAAGTTCAAAACCTGTCGACTGACTTTCGAATGTCATGTGACTTTTGAAGGTCAAACCTTCGCCCTTTCACCCTTCCCCCAATTCTTCCCCTTTAGTGTGGAGCCCGCGCATGGTGTTAATAATACGCCACAACATCCTTTATTGTATAATTTGATATCCAATGGAATCAATATGAAACGCGCTGGCCATGGCGACTATTCATGTATTGCGTGACAGAACCTGCCAATGATGGAGTAATGATCAATTATATTACAGGCAATGATGATCACATCAACCTGCAACCCTTGACAAAATGGCACGTGTTTAATTCTAACCAATCCACAACTCAGTGTGACCACGTCATATGATAGGGACCAGGAAGATAATTGCCTTCCTACGCAGTCAACACCCTAGTCGGCAACAAGTTGGACATTCCTGCACTGAACGGCAACTTCGACTCCATAGAAGCTCACAGTAAGTAACAATTCTAGGAATATAGCTACAGGTTGTGCTTTTGTCCTTCCAAACAAAAACATGTACATTTTAAAGTGCTATATACCTATGTTGCATTCATAAGGCATGTGAATTGCATTGTCTTGTATCGCCGGCATACATAATTGGAGTTTCTCCCTCTATCGTTTCAATGAGTTGCTATTTCAAGTCGCTTCAAAGCATACGGCGAATATAGTATCGAAAAAGATACTGCTGATAAAAAGTTTATATTTTGAGGATAGAAAAATAAAACAATTATGGATCATAAAGCTATCATTGCGTTATTTTCTTGGCAACCTTTTACGACGGATTATAACTTCTTCTTTGAGTTTTCTCACTTTGTCATCACACTGCGTTACGTCAAATGTGAACTAGCTTCGCTAAAGTCAAACATTTTCTTTCCTTTACAGTAAAATTTGTTGTATCTCTTTGCAAAAGGCTAATTCTATGGTACGTGGTATGTGTCGTTCCGTTCCCATTGCCAACGTCATGACAACCGTCTGACGTAATCTCCGGCTGTTGTCATCAAAATAAGCCGGTTTGAATAATTGATGCGGACGTTCTAATCAACAAACTATTATGAAAATTACTCAGTCTGTCCCGTATAATAACACAGCGTCACGTTCGTTAGGAGTGTCATTCTGAAATAACGCGTTATCGTTAGGGGTGTCATTCTGAAATAACGCGTCATCGTTATAGGAGTGTCGTTCCGAAATAACGCGTTATTGTTAGGAGTGTTATTCTGAAATAACGCGTTATTGTTATAGGAGTGTCGTTCCGAAATAACGCGTTATTGTTAGGAGTGTTATTCTGAAATAACGCGTTATTGTTATAGGAGTGTCGTTCCGAAATAACGCGTTATTGTTAGGAGTGTCATTCTGAAATAACGCGTTATTGTTATAGGAGTGTTGTTCTGAAATAACGTGTTATCGTTATGAGTATCGTTCTGAAATAACGCGTTATCGTTATGAGTATCGTTCTGAAATAACGCGTTATCGTTATGAGTATCGTTCTGAAATAACGCGTTATCGTTATGAGTATCGTTCTGAAATAACGCGTTATCGTTATGAGTATCGTTCTGAAATAACGCGTTATTTTATAGGAGTGTTGTTCTGAAATAACGCGTTATCGTCAGGAGTGTCGTTCCGAAATAACGCGTTTTCGTAAGGAGTGGCTTTCTGAAATAACGCGTTTTCCTTAGGAGTGTCATTCTAAAATAATACTTTATCGTTAAGGGTGTTATTCCGAAATAACGCATTATCGTTAGGGTTGTTATTCTGAAATAACGCGTTATGGTTAGGGTGTTATTCTGAAATAACGCGTTGTCGTTAGGGCTGTTATTCATATATATAACGCGTCGTTCCGAAATAACGCGTTATCGTTAGGAGTGTCATACTGAAATAATGCGTTATCGTTAGGGGTCTTATTCTGAAATAACGCGTCATCTAGTACAGCGTCGCGTTCGTTAAGGGTGGTGTTACTCTGAAATAACGCGTTATCTAGATCTTCATATACTTGTGCATTGCTGTGGCCTCGCCAATATTTTCAACCGTTATTTAACTGCATGTAGGTATGTTTCTACTAACCCTCCAGAACTTAATCATTACATTACATGTATTTTCAGATTGGTGCAGGGGAAGATAACACATTTGCTAACGACTAGTCCGACTGTGACGAGATGGGGTTCTGTGGTGGAAAGTGTGAAAACATTCTGTTCAGAAATGCGAAGCAGGACGACTTCGTCCAGTCAGCAGTAAGTAAATATTTATATCGTCCAGAAGGTCCAAATCTAATTGAATATTACTGACGAAAGAAAAACTACAATCCTGCTTACCTATCAAAACCCACTCATTGCAGAAAAAATGGGACACGTCGTCTTCCAAAGCTTCCAAAAAAGAAGTAAAACACAAAAAGTTTTGATTGTATTCTGAATCGAATAGTAACTTGTTCTGAATGGAATAGTCACTTGTTTCACATGTGTGTACGTTGTATGTACTACCTACATTGTATGTGTAGCATTAGCCCTAGGGCATGAATTTGTAAATAAACTTATACATATATTGATGTACCGTCTTGGTGTTCCACAGTGGGGTAAGAGCCGTGCTGCCTACATCGCGTTCCGAGGGTTCTTCACGGTGTTCCTGGTGGTGTTCCTGATCTGGCACCTGTACGACTCCTTCAGCCGAGACACGCTCTACTTCACCAAGGCCGACAACTGGGGCTACCTGCTGCTCGTCGTCTACTTCATCTGGGCGCTCGTCCACGCCTGCGTCGACCACTGTCGGAAGCAATCGTCCGAAGTCGTTCCGCTGCCGAAAGAAACCGAGGGGGAAGAGAAACCAACCGAAGGCGGTCGTCTTCCCTGGTACGTCCAGGTCCAGTGGCTGCTCTTCAACATGAGTTTCACCGTGGCGTTTTTCGTCCTGTTCGTGTACAATGGACTCGTCATCAAGGGGGAGTTCAGCTTCCAGGTAAGAGATTTAAAAAAGCATTCAATGCAATTTCAGGCCTGCAAAACTGGATTTTCAAGCTCAATCTTCTTGCCCTTCTTGTAATGTAGTAGTTTGAATCAACCCTATCTCAGAGCATACGGCATATACATTAGAAGGCAATTAATTGCACAACGGTTGTTTGCACACTCAGTGTCAATTGCACCAAGTCCCAAAATCCCAAACCGTTCCCCCTTGTATCTGTGAGGCAAATATTCGATGTCGCTGACGGAAAACGGTTGCTTGTTTTCAATATTATTGTATTTGTCAATACCATACTAACGTATCAGACTTATCATGTAATTATGTTTATCGAAGGAAAACATATTGTTTTTGCTCCATTTCTTCTTCCTCTTCTTCTGTTCCAAACACTAACCTCTGACCTGGCCAATGGCCTCTTTTGTTGATGTCTGTCACCATAGTAATTTTAAGGAACATTATGGGTAAATCAATCAACCTATGCGAATATGACTTGTCCCGGCAGGACGTTGCAGTTCACATCCTGAACGCCGTGGTGGCGCTTCTGGACATCATGGTGTGCGGTATCCACGTCCGTCTGCTGCACGTGGTCTACCCGTTGTGCTTCGGGCTGACGTACGTCATCTTCGCGGTGATCTACTGGGCCGCGGGCGGGAAGGACGCCAAGGGAAATCCTTACATCTACAGCGTCATAGACTTCAGGTCAGACTCTTCAGACGTGTGCCTCTCAAATGAAGCTATATGTCTGATAAGGGAAAGAAAAAAAAACTTAATATTCAATGCCTAATGCTAATACCTAACTCACCCTAGTCTCCACCAAACTTCTTTTGCGGGGTGAATAAATCGTAGAAATCGGCCTAAAAAGGGTATTAATTGGCCAGAGAAGGTAGCCGGCCAGAGAAGCTCCATTTCCCCGCCGAGAAATTTTTAGGCCGTATCTGTGAAAATATGAAAGTCGTATATGTCCGGATATGCAACAAAACAATTCCGGACTCAGGATATAGCTGGATACGATAAGTATCGAACCCCTTTTCCGGACACAGTCCCAATATGCAACATGTCCAGGAATATTTGAACTTCAAATATGTCTGGAAATAACCCCCTTTTGCACAGTGCGATTTCTACGATTTATTCACCCTTCAAAAGCCCACCGACCACGTTTAGGAGTAGATCGGGAGCAAGTCGGCTGTGGTTGGTTGATATTCGGCTACTGTTCAGCTGCGCTCGCCGAATGTTTAAAAGTATTAAAAACATTCTGGTGTGGATGGGAGGTTCGCCATCGGCCATCGGTTGGCTGGTGTTCGGGGGTAGGTCAGCAATTAGACTGCTCCAGAACTTCAGCCAACCTTGGCCTCCACCAGGCCTTCCTACGGGGGTACGGATCGTAGAATTTGGAAAAAAGGAAATTAGTCAGTCCGCATAACATGTGCGGGAGGGTTATTTCTCCGGGGCGGGCGGCAAAAGGCTAATTAACTCCTTTGACCAATTATAATATCACTATTTCGTTACATTGTAAATTTTACTGTTTTTGAACCCGCGTTGTTAGTCTAGTGGAGACTAGGTCGGGAGAAGGTTCTGACTGCGTGACAGGATTTTGAGGACTGACAGTTTCCGTTCTTTCGGCAGCGGTGACCCTGGGCTGGCTGCCGGTGCGTGTGTGGGGCTGATCCTGCTGGCCGTGCCGCTGTCACACCTGTTCCTGTACGGGCTGTACCGCCTCAGGTGTGTCCTGGTGCGCATGTACGAGAAGAAGCTGCAGGGAGAGAGGGAGGAACAGGCCTTCCTGCGGCGCATGGGCAGAGCACCTACGTTTTAGTTATAGAACAGACATATAGATTATGTGAATGAAGACCTTATTTGCATAATTGATGGAAAAATTGCTATAATTTCATAGTAGCTAACTGCGAGGCAGTTCATAATTGCCGCGTTTGGAAATTAAGTGAAGGTGAACATCAATAAACATAATTTATTGAAACCATGACCTCCTTCGCATAATTTATGGGGAAGCGCTAGAATAGCCTTCTCTTTTAGGATAAGGCTGTCATTGTGTGGAGAATATGAACAACTGATATTATAATAAATGATGGAAAT